TCTTTCCTTAACATCACTTTTATTATTATTATTATTATTATTATTATTATTATTTACAGCAATTCCTATGTATTTGCGAATCTAGCGCCTAAACTTCAATATTGACGCACCCGCTCACGCACACATATATGTACACCACTTTTACCATTCATTAAAAGGTGTATCTTTTTAAGTTTACAAGTTTGCATTTTTAATGTGATACGAAAAATTGGGGCCGTGGGTGTAAATATAAATAAATAAAGTTTAGGCGTTGCATATGTAAATACATGGTATGTATATAAATGCCCCGTATTAGTTTGGGAAATTTACCTATGTTCCACACAATGTTAATATATTTACATAGGCAACGCCTTAAAATTTGATATTTACACTTGTAACATCTTGATCTCGTAAACATAGGCTTGCAAAAGTATATTTTATTTTTACAAGAGTTGGTGAGGGGGCATTTTTTATGTGACGTTAAAGATTCGAGTGATATGCTTCCAAATGTGCATGTTTATGTGTTAGATATATATGTAAATATATAACAATTCTGTGGTATGTGTGTAAATGAGTCCAATTATTTTTGTTTTTTTGTTTTATAGGTTGGACATATTTGTATGTGGAGATCAGATACGCAAAGGGGCGGCGCTCAATGCGGTACAGATTGCAGAGAAGTTGCTATGATCAATGTATCATATCATTCTTCACTCTTCAGGCAGGACTATTTGATTCTCTTCTCTGTTTTTTTATGAGGACGTAAGCGAATGTTGTTCTATTCGTTCATTGTTGTCATTTGCTATTTATTATTCTTTTTTTTTTTAGAAAATTTTGCTTCTTAAAATAGTTCTACTGTGTTCAAAAATACGCTGTAACGCTTTTATTATTATTATTTTTTAATTTTTTTTAAATTCACTTTATTGAGATGTTTGATTGAGAAGTACATAGAGAATAAGGAGGATGTACGTATGATTTTTATTGACTTAGACAAAGCTTACGATAAGGTTCTAAGAGAAATTATTTGGAGAGTTATAGAGAAGAAAGATGTTGATATGACTTATATGTAAGTCATTAAAGATATATAAACTAGAGCTGTTACTTGTGTTCAAATAGAAAGATTGATAATATATTTTTCTATTTCAGTTGAATTACATTAGGGATCGACTGTAAGCTTATATCTTTTTGCTTTAGTTATGGTTTCTTTTACTAGATATTTACAATATGATGTACCTTGGTGTATGCTTTTTGCTGATGACATTCTTCTTGTGAACAAGAAAGACTAGAGAAAGATTAACGAAAAATTGAATTATAGAGGTCTACATTGCAGTCTAAAGGCCTTCGCTTGAGTAGAACTAAAATTGAATGCATTTGATGTAATTTTAGTAGTAGTAGCTCTAGCGGCAGAGTTGTTACTATGAGTGATGAAAACATTGGAAGGAGTAAAAATTTTAGAAATATTGGGTGTATTGTTCAAAATGATGGTGATATAGATGATGTTATTTAGTAGAATTCAATTTGGTTGATTGAAGTGAAGAAATGCTTTAGGCCTATTGTGTGACATAGAAGTACCACTTAAACTAAAAAAAAAATTTATAAGATGGTTGTGAGACTTGAAATGCTCTATGACACAAAATGTTGGCCTTTGAAAGAGAAGTGTAAAATAAAGGGTCTATTGGGGGTAGTTGTAACTTATTAAAAAATTGCTGCGCAATAGTTGTGTAAGGAAGTTACAGGAAAGGTTGGTGTCGGTGTCTGTTTGTTTGAAAGAGAAGTGTAAAATAAAGGGTCTATTTGGGGTAGTTGCAACTTATTAAAAAATTGTTGCGCAATAGTTGTGTTAGGAAGTTGCTGCAGGAAAAGTTGGTGTCAGTGTCTGTTTGTTTTATGCAGTTTTGCAAGAGTTGTGTTGCAGTTGCTTATGAACAAATAACTTTTTTGCCTCTGTTGAATAGTGCTGCACAATCACTATTTCAGGCACCCATCAACATTGCCGTAAAACCAATACCAAACCACATAACTATAAAAAAATCGCCACCACCACCAACGGGATACAACATAAATTTCACAGTAGAGCAAAGCCACAATACACATTTATTGAATAGATGATAGAGCACCAACGATGGAATAGTATATAGAGCCTAAACATCAAAGCACAAAATCTAAAATCCTTACCTTAGAAAATTGAAATTCTATTTCACAGTAAAGGAAAGCCACAAAATCCAAATGAACTTCAAACCAAATGATAGAGGATATCGTAGGAGGACAAAGATCAAAGTAAGCAAATAGAGCTGGAGATTGGAGAGAGGAGAGAGAGGAGAAGAATGCAAACCTCAGCCACCAGAGCGAGAGATAAGAGAGAAGCGAGAGAGGAGATGCTTTCTTAGAGAGGAAATGCCAGAGAGGGAAGATTGGGACATGAGAAAGGGGAGAGTGGGGTAGGGGAGTAATAGTGGATCGCGAGAAAACGCGAATCGCGGGGTCAAACTCGCGGCCCGTGTTCAATGCTGCTTGTCCCAAAATGCTGATGCGCCACAGTTTCCAAACACCCACCTTGACGTTTCCTGACCTCACCACAACAAAAAAAGCTGACCCAAATAGGCCCCAAGTGTTGCCGATATAAGAATGCTCAGGTGGATGAGTGATTTGACACTTGGGGACAAAATGCGAAATGAATATATCCGTGATAGGGTTGGTGGAGCTCCACGGACATACAAAATTAGAGTTAGTCATCGTAGATGATTTGGTCACATTAAACGTCGACCATCTGATGATCCAGTTAGGAGAATATATGTTTTAGATTCAACTTCTGTCAAGAAAGACAAAGCTAAACCTAGAAGGACTTGGACATAATTGTATAAAATGATCTTAATTTATTAAAACTAAATGAAAATATGACTCTCGATAAGATCCAATGGAGAAAAAAGGATTCATGTAGCCAACCCCAAATAGTGTGATAAAGGCTTTTTTCTTTTTTTTTTGTTGTTGTTTGAATTCAGTTTCCGATCTCTATCCTTCTGCGAATAGAAATGGTCTATTGTGGATGATTTCTTTTAATGTTTATTTTATTTTATGTATGTTGTAATTTAAAAGAAAACATTTATTAGGCAAAAAAAAAAAATATATTTTTAATTTTGTATTTATTAAATATTTTGATTGTTCAATATTAAAATGTGTGACCAATTATTAGCGGGCAATAAATAACTATTTTTGAAAATACTATTTAAATGTTATTTATGATTTAAAAATAACTGTAAAAAATAAAAAAAATAATTGTAAAAAATACCTAAATATTAAGGCGCTTATGATCATTTTTTTTCTATAAAAATTTTATTTTAATTTTATTTTTTTTTAGTGTTTTAATTGAAATTAAAATATGTTTGATTGAGTGTATATTTTGAGTGCTTTTAAAAATAAGTTAATTTGTCTTTATATATATATATATATATATTATCAATTAAATATGTTTAAAAATAAAAAAAATAATATCAAGGGATTTTTATTTTCATAATATATGCCTGCTTAGCCCTAGTAATTAAAATTATTTGATATGATTAAAAAATAGATTATCAAACTTAAAGAATGATTTATCATTTTTACATATCATTGGTAAAATTTTCAAGCGTCTTTTATATCCGTGTCCTACATTTTATTTATTTATTTATTTTAATTTAATGCTTATTTTTTATATTTATATGCATAGTATTTAAATACTTAATATTGTATAAAACATTACTAATAAATTTTAATATAAAATTACTTTTACGTGAATAAATTTATGGCATCAGTGCGTGTACCGTGGTCTGTCGGTAGAGCAGCCTCTCTGAAGGTCGTAAGTCCCCTCAGGTCAAGGGTTTGAATCCCCTGTGTGTAGGATGTGGTACTCGAATATTTAGCAGACCTATGGATGACCGAGGCTCATCTAATATCCTCCGACCATTTCTTAAAAAAAAAAAAATTATGACATCAAACTACTGTAAAATTAAAATATAAATATTAAATCTTATATGTTAGATATTTAAATGGTATTTAATATTTAAATGTGAAGAGAGAGAGAGAGAGAGAGAGAGAGAGAGAGAGAGAGAGAGAGAGAGAGAGAGAATGGGGAGAGAATTTGAGATCTGATCACTTCAAAATACAAAAAAGAGATCTTTGGCAATATACAAGTAAGAGAATATATATATATATATATATAGGATTCAGATAAGCTCACTACAGTATGGCAAATGGTTAATAAAGAGAGAGCAATTAAATTGCTTACATCAGAGGAAATTCCATAAGAGAACTAACCCTCAACGCATGAGACGATGGAGCAGAACAAAGCAAGCACGCAAGCAGCAGCAGCCAACATGCCCTCGAAGCCTGAATCGGCCGAAGACAATTAGGGTCTGTTTGGGGCAGCTGAAGCTTATTCATCTTCTGCTGATAAACAACCTATCCTGATAATCTACTGATGAGCAGCTGATCCAGATAAGTTGGTTGACTGTTTGGTTTGTGCGTTTGAAAAACAACTGATTCTGAATAAATAACCATTCCGTCTCTGTTATGGAAAAATTGTTTAGCAGTTTGGTTTGTGCGTTTTGGATAATCAGCTTATTCATAGATTTTTTTAGTTGAATGAAAAATCTGTTACGCAGAATTGTTATTTTCTCAAATGTAAAGACATGAAAATGCAAAAGAGTTTAATTACATTTTATATAACTAAAAAAATTACGATTACATCAAATAAGCACATTTACATATACGAAAGTGAAGTACACATTCACACATTAATATGAAGTATAATGAGACAAAAAAAAGAAAAAAAAAATATGTGAATTTATATAGATAAGCCATAACAACACCGATTTCCACGTTGCCACAACCATACCACAAAATGAGCAAAACCACCGGATCCTAGCAGAAATAAAAAAATGTTCTTATGGCCACAGACATACCGCAAAATGAGTAAAACTACCCAACTCCGGAAGCAATTATTTGGATCCACTAATTTGACACCTCAGGTGTTCATATCCATCATCAGATCCATCAATATCTCACCCGAAATGAAAAAAAAAAAACCTTTAAACAAAATGCCATACTACTGCAAATGACTTCATGGAAGAAAGATGAAACGACTTTCCACATAAAAAAAAACCAAAATAAACATATCAAACCCGAACGACTGCAAATGACGAACATCGAAGACGAGACATGCGAGGGAAGATATACCTGTAGAGCGAAATGCCGAAGAAGAAGACGGTGAAGGAGTGAAGATGTCGAAGAAGAAGAGGGCAAACGAACTAGATCGTAGAGTAGGAGCGCTTAGGGCATGAGTATTGCTAAGGATTCGAGAGCGGAGGAGTCCGAGGGCAGGGTCACGGGAGTGAATGATGTTGAGGGCGGATTCATAAAATTTGTTTCGCAAAACGCGGACTGCGGGGGTAGTTCTACGGTCCGCGTCTTTCACAAAAAATATAAACCGCTTTTTGGATAATCAGTCAATAAGTGATAACCAAACAGGACAACGCCGTTTTCAAAACGCTGTCCGTACTTTTAAGCTGCCCCAAACAGACACTCTATATGCTCGCATCCAGAGGACAAGTAGACCAACTACACCTGAATTATCAGCCGACCAACAAATCCAACTCCGACAATCGACCGATATGGCCGATCGTCTTGCATTATTCACCCAACTTACTGGGCTGAAGGCCTAAAAAGTCCCTGGGTCCCACTAGGGTGAAATACCTAAAAAACTTTATGCAGACCCTACTAAAGTAGGGACATCTATGCAATTTCATGTACCACATCCTCTATGCCTAAAAATATGAGATCATTTCATAAATGAAAGGTTACACAATTCCCTCATTAGAAGGAAAAATTATTCTTTGAAAATTAGAATAATTATGCAAATATTATGAAAATAAAGCTAAGTTCTTAAGTTTATTTCACATTCATTTTTATTTTTTTGCCTTTTTATTTTTATTTTTTAATTCAAACTTAATTATTTTTAAATAATCATTTTAAAAATAACAATTTGACATTTTTCCATTTCATCTTGAACTCACACGTTACTCATTTGACAGCACAATAAACCACTTACTATTCATTAAAAAAAAAAATGAATACACAATTCATTGCACAATTTTAGTGTGTTATAATACACAGCAAAAATAAGTTAGGAAGCAAAATTTTCTAAAAAAAACAATAACAAAATGCAAATTACAACAAGAACCAAATAGAACAATATATGCTTACATTCTCATCAAAAACAAACTTGAGAATCAGAAGGTTCTACGTAAAAAATGATATGATATATTCACTATACCAACTTCTCTGCAAATTTTACTGCATTGAACGCCAACCCTTTATTTATAGATAAAATTTTCCATGACACCGCATGCCTGGTTGACCAACCGCCCTCGCCATATACTTTAGCGCCGGGCGATGTGGCGCCTGAAGATTGGGCATCCGGACACGTGGACGTAATATTTTTTTCTTATTTCCAAGCGTCCAACCTATAAAAATGGGTCGTTTGCATCATGCCCCCCAACTTCTATGAATTTAAATATCTAACACCTAAATTTTACTTATTTTATGTTTATACCACCTAAACTCTTCATATCACATCAAAAATAATCCTTTTTGAACTTTTAAAAAGGGGGCATTATGTACTATTGACATGTTATCAACAAAATTTTATCATTAGACAAATTCTGAAGAATTTTTTTAGCGAGAAATATTCTAAATTCAAATTCAATATCAACAAGCGTCATATTTCAACAAGCTTGAAGTCAAATTAAAATTCGACAAGAGTCACAAGACTAACCCAATAGCACTGAAAGCTATGTTCAAATCAACTTAGAACAAACATTTAATGACTTTAGTGCATCCTTTAGAAAATCAAATCTTAAAATTTGACATGCTTATAATTAAATTGAACGTCTCGATGAGAGGAATATAACAAGTCCGCAATCATTCACTTTTGATATCATTAAGAGACTTAAAGATATTTTATTGAATCGAATCTAAAGCAAACAAAATTCTCTCTTAATTTTAGCGAGTCGATGAATAATCAAATTTACCAATATCATGTCAAACACAACAACTACCAAATATTTTCCAAACAACAAGACTAATTTCACACCCCTTACATGAAGAAAAATGATTTACATATATCAAGCACTTATTAAACAAAAAATAATCAAATTATTTTTTATTCATGTTCGACTCATTTACTACAATATCTCAATTAACATTCGAGCCAAACACAAACAACCATCGATTCAAACAAATCAAAATCCTTCTTTTCTCACCACCATCAACCACATAAATGCTTACAAAATAGCCCTCCCCAACCCCTAGCCTAATTGATCTCTAATGAATGAATATACTACAAACAATCAAAAGACAACACTTCTATAAAAATGTTCTTCCACCTGCCAATTAAAGTCCCAGAAGGTTTGAAATGGGTTGCCAGCCAAGAAGCCATGGCTTCTTGTTCTCCGGCAAGGCGAAGTTCAGTTCAAACATCTCCTTGGCCACATTTTCACCCTCACAAAACCCTACTAACCTGGCAACAATGTCTGCACTCTCTTCAATATGGGATTTGTCCTTGGGATCTCTCCATAGTTTGTTCACCAACTGAAGCTTTCTTTGTTTCCCCACCAATGGAACTCGCCATTTGGTGTACAACCTCTCTCGTTCTTCCTCCGTCAGTCTCGAATTCATTCTTTTAGAGAGAAACTCCCGTTCTTGTCTCAATGCCTTCATGCTGCGGTTAGAGAAGAAATTTGTCAGTTTTTAGCTAAAAGCAAAATTATATATTGGATGATTTACATACAAACCACTCTATTCTTATAAATTTGCATATGTAACATCGGCACCTTCCTCATGCATGAAAAGCTGTATATCCTTTTTAAAAGTCAAAATGATGGTGCTTTTTATGTGATATGAGAGATTTTAGTGGTAAAAATGTAAAAAGTAAAGTCTAGGTATTAGATATGAATTTACATAGGAATTTGGTGATATGAAGATTTGAAAAGTCTACATACATACCACTCAATTTTTATATATTTACATATGCAACACCTAAATTTCAATTTAAACATAAAAGCCACCACCTTCTCTATGCATGGAGGAGTATTCCACTTTTTAAAAGTTAAAAATGGTGGTATTTTTTATGTGATACGAAAAATTTGAAAACTATAAATGTAAAAAGTAAAGATTAGTTGTTAGATGTGTAAATATATAGTAAAGTTGGTGATATGGAGGTTTACATACATTGCAACTTATGTATTTACATATCTAACACCAAAACTTCAATTTTTACACGTGTCGTTTTCTCTATGCATGAAAAAAATGTGCATTTCACTTTTTAAAGGTCAGCTTACTTGGATGATAGAGAAAGAGAGAGTTCATCTCCTGAATGTGCAGAGTGAGGATCTCCAACAGCAGTGAAGTGTTCATGCATCCAATTTAGCCTCCTTAGCTCCACCTCAATATAAATTTGGTCAGCTTGATCACCTTTGAATAGTAGATAGAATTGTGTTCTGTGTACTAAAGATACATGGCAAATATCCCATAATTCTATGATTTGTCGCATTTGTTCCTCGAAAATAGATTTCCAGGTTGCCGGGGATTTATGAAGCTCGTTGAGGTTTTCATCGGCCTCAGAAGCCTCATCATAACCAGCATTTTCGTTCGACTCCAGCTCCAAAACCTAACGAACGAATAAAAATATTTGATGTCAGTTCAAATAACACATATTCAATGTTCATCTGTTTACATAATTGAATAATTTTGAAAAAAATCTTAGAAGTTTGTCATATAAATGAATAATTTAAATCACCCATTTCCTATGTATTTACATATCTAATGCCTAAACTTTTATTTCTATATTCATACCACCCAAATCTTTCATATCACATAAAAATTGCCATCATTTCAACTTTTAAAAAGTGAAATAAAGCTTTTCATGCATGGATTTACTATTTTTTAATAAGCATTCCCCTAAAAACTCAATAGAATGCTAGTTTTATGATGAGTTAATCACTTAATCGATAACTTGTTATTGTTTTTATCTCAATTTTCCATATCTTATGCACTTTATAAATTATGCATTTCATTATAAGTATGATGAATATCAAATAAATATATAGATTAACAGCTTTTCCCGGTAATAGTAGAGCTTCACCAAACAATTGAATTAATACATAAAAAAATAGGCAAACTTTAATTAAAATCAATTAACTTTTAATAAAAATATGTTCAAATCATTAGTATAAAACAATTAAATAAGTAGGACCAATGAAAACTTGATTATAACTCGGACTCCTTGAGAAAACTAATAAATAAACTCAATTGAAACTCAACAAGAAAATAAATAAATCGAACAACGAAATACTCAATCAAACTCAGTTCATTTACATGCTTATGCAATGTATGATAATACAAGAAAGATTTACATACATACCTCCTTACCTAAGCATGTAAAAGGTGCAATTCACTTTCAAAACTTAAAATAGTGGTAGTTTTTATGTGATATGAAAGATTCCACAGGTAGAAAAGTAAAAAGTAAAGTTTAGGTGTTGGATATGTATATACATAGGAATCGAGTGGTATGAATGTAAATGCCCCAAATAGAAAAGGTTTGATATGGAGAACAGACCTGGCATACTAGAAGCTGCTTTTGGTACTGCAGTTTGGCAACTCTTTCTTTCAGTTCAGTGACATAAGCTTTTATGCTCCTCACATTCTCTTCCGCCGCATTCTGAAACATCTTCTGCATCTTCTTCATGTTCACAGATTTCGACCGTTGGTGGCCTGGTGTTCCTTCCCTTGACGACAAATCTTCGTTATCTTCGCTCTTCGATGCGGCGGCCATTAGAGATTCTGAATGACTCTCATCCGGGTTCATGTTTTCGATCTCCGACTCCATCACCATTCTAGATGAAGAAGATGACAGAGGCGAACAGGGAGATCTTAGGAGATGTGGAAGGTTGACATTGCAGGTAGAGGTCAGAGGAACCATCCTGCGCTTCTTATGTGCTGTATTCGATGATTTCGGACTAATTTTGCAAGACGGATTATAGTTAGGAAGAGACATAACGAGCTTATCTAAGGATTTCTGAACATTTTCGAGCTGTTCCTCGAGATTCGCAATGGTGTTCCCTTGTGAGTGAAGTCTGGTAATCTCTTCTTTGAGGTTTGTGGCAGCCTTATGGTTGTTTACCAAAGGCTTAACGAAGGCTTCTGTTGTTAGAGATCTAACGGCTCTCACCTCTTTTATTTCAGCTTGAAGCTTAGCAATGGTTTGTGCAGCATCTTGGTTTCCAAGTCTGTGACAAGCCACCTCTTTCTGGAGAACATCCAAGGCTTTATTTGCCTCCTCTCCGAGTAAGACTTGAAGCTGCTCGAGCTTTCGGATTTCGTTTACTAGCATGGATGGCACAGTGGATGACTGTCGGAGTGGGTTTCTTGGTTGGTCGGAAAAGGTGAGACATTTGGCCACCCGGCGAGGCGAGGATTCAAATGGAAGAAGCCCCTAAGAGTGAGAAAATTGATGAAAAAAGAAAGTAAAAATAGTTCCCTAACTGTTTACATGGAGTTATAACTTCCCACAATATATAAAAATGTCAAATTAATATCCAAATTCTTTAAATTTGGGCTGAAATAGTCTTTAATAGGGACTAGTTCATCCAATACTAAAAGAGTCGGAGACTAAATTAACAATTTTATAAACCCCAGGACTAAAAATGACCCCACTCGCAAAGAGTCGGGACCCTTTTTGACAATTTTCTTGGAAAATAAACAATGCTTTATAAATAGAATTTAACAAGAGTTTGCTTACTAGTTTTTCCTGCTCCATCTTCCTTAGTAGTTCATCAAACTGGGCCTTTACAAGATCCCTTTCCTGCTTCAGCTTTTCCATTTCTATTTCCATCTGTTGAAAAATAGAAAAAATAGAATAAACAGAAAAAAAAGTGCGTTTGTGGATCTACTAGCAATACTTACAACAAATTCATCATTATTTGCGTTTTTATACAAGAGATCAGAAAAAAAATGCAAAGAACATGCTGCATAGTTTTCATATAAGATAAAATCTTCATCAAAATCGTTATAGCAAACCCTGCAATGGCGACAACAAGAACAGCCATAATTTGTATTGAAGAAAGATCAGAAAAAACATAGTAAAAGAGAGGTCACATATTCGCCCCATAAATTGAGCTAACCTGCATAAAGATTTTTTATGTGTTTTTATTCGTTTTGTTTTCTTTCATTCATTCACACTCACTCATTTAAAAGGAAATTTGCATGCATGCAACATAATACTTATGTATTTACATTATCTAACACCTAAATTATAATATTTATATTTATCACACCTTGCTTTCATAAAATCTATGCATAAGAAGGAGTACTTCACTTTAAAAAAGATCTTGATAGCAATATTTTTTATTGAATGTTAAAGTTATAAGGTAGTGTTTGGCTGCAACTTAAATTTACGTTAAATAGGATTTATCAAATCCGATAAATCAAGATTTCTCAGATCGACGCTGCGACAGAAGAGCTCGCGAGCAACAACGAAATAAATCCGACTTGCAATCGGATTTACTAAATTTGGATTTACATCCTAAAAATGACGGAACACGGGAAGAGAAAGACGGAACACAATAAAATTGGATTTAACGGAGCATTATATTTATTTTTTATTTTTTTAGTACTTTGGCTGGATTTATGTTAAATTCTTAATAACACCTAAATTCTTAATAACATTTTTTTGATGCATGTAAATATGAATGCTAAAGGTGTTAGCCATTTCCAACAAAAAATACCGGAGAAAACCAAAGTACAAATTGAAGGAATGCCATATCTTCTACCTTCTTAATCTGCATTTCTTTCTCCAACAGAACAACATCTGTGTTTGAAGAAGCAGAAGGATCTGAACCATGCAGTTCTGCTTCAAGTCTGGCAACCTCTCTCTGCAGTTGCTTCACTAATTGCTTATCAGATATAATCTGAAAAAAAAAATTGAATCAGGAGCTGAAAATCTGGCATAAATGCTATAAGGGTAGAAGAAGAGGATGAATTTGCAAAATCTGAGTTGTAATATGAACTCACCACATTAACCTGTGCAGAATTTGTAATTTCTTTTGCACAAGAAGCAAAGGAGAGTGTGCTACGAGATTGCTCTACATGGCTAAGAGCAGGACTCATGGTGCAAATAATGGCAGTTCTGGCATTTCCTTCAAGAGAAAGCTGTAGTATGCGTGTCAGCTTTGATTGTCTGTAAGGAATATGGCCGAACCTTTTCCCATCACTGAAATTGGTGAAATAGATTACAGCAAAAGAAAATTTTGAATGTTTAACAAATCAGATTCACCAAACATCAAGAGAGAAAAAAAATGGAAGAAGAATAGAACACATAAAAGAAGACCAACTCACAAAAAAAGTGTTGGGGATGTATTTACATATCTAACACATAAACCTTACTTTTACATTTATACCACCCAAAATTTTCACATCACAAAAATATGTTAAATTTTATAAAATTTAGAAAGAGAAATATGTCTTTTCATCCATAGGTAAGGCTATATGTATGTAAAAATTGAATTTTCAGTGTTAGATATTTAAATGCAAAAGAATTTAGTGGTAGTAAGTAAATCTTTTTTTTTTTAAAAAAAAACTTCTGTGTAATTTTCAATATAAAACATCTAAGATCCATTGGTTGCTTTACCAAGCTTATTAATCTAAAAAAAATGTAATTAGAATCAAATGCAAATTAACATGTGCAATTTTCAATAAAATGTCATAATCATAGAAAAAACTATCATTTCAATTTATTCTGGCAATAGGTGGCAGTGTTTCTTCCAGTTAATATAGAGAATGGGGTATCTATATCATTATCTTTTTGTGCATAAAAATAATCTAGGATGTACTCCTATTTAAAAGCTTAATGAAATATTCAATCTCTGTGCAGCCATAGGTGTGGGTGAGTATCCCCAAACCATATAGGTGAGAATTACTAAACCACAAAAGAAATCTATATGATTATGGGATGGTAAGGATATGTCAAATCGTTAGTATAGTGACAAAAATATGCTATAACAATGGTTCAAAAGAGATTAGTGAATGTAAAAGCTCTTCCTTCCAAAATATTATCTTCTTCCAAGCTTAATGTTTTCTTCCTTCACCAATTCCATGTCTCACCACCCCCTGGAGTTGATGCGGGCATTAAAAGTGATGTGGGATCGCATCTCCGCACGTGGGTGCTGGAGTCTTCCACTCTCCAGATATCTGGACTGAAACGGTCCAAACCTAGGAGAGTTGACCAGCTCTTCCACGATGGTTTGACACTTCCTTTTCACAGAGGGACCCAATCCTAGTTATCTAGAGTTTATATATTTGTTTTTCATGTTTTAGGTTTTCAATTTTGGTGTGTTTCTATTGGGACAACTATCGAAGTCTTAAATTTTTCCTTTGAGGGTAGTATCCAAGAGTCGAGTGATGCTGTGAGTGTATCTTACTCTCGAGGTGGTGACTGTATCCAAGGGTTGAGTGGTGTTCCGACATCATCTCGCTCCGGAGGTGATGATTTATCCTTCCCCATCACTACCCGCCTCTCCATAATCGTCCTTCCATGCTGCAGTCGCCCTAAGAACCAAAGCTGTTCCTGTTGTTCACTTCCACCTCCACCCTTCCACAATCTTAAATTTTCCCTTTGAGGGTAGTATCCAAGAGTCGAGTGATGCTGTGAGTGTATCTTACTCTCGAGGTGGTGACTGTATCCAAGGGTCGAGTGGTGTTCCGACATCATCTCGCTCCAGAGGTGATGATTTATCCTTCCCCATCACTACCCGCCTCTCCATAATCGTCCTTCCATGCTGCAGTCGCCCTAAGAACCAAAGCTGTTCCTGTTGTTCACTTCCACCTCCACCCTTCCACAATCTTAAATTTTCCCTTTGAGGGTAGTATCCAAGAGTCGAGTGATGCTGTGAGTGTATCTTACTCTCGAGGTGGTGACTGTATCCAAGGGTCGAGTGGTGTTCCGACATCATCTCGCTCCAGAGGTGATGATTTATCCTTCCCCATCACTACCCGCCTCTCCATAATCGTCCTTCCATGCTGCAGTCGCCCTAAGAACCAAAGCTGTTCCTGTTGTTCACTTCCACCTCCACCCTTCCACAATCTTCCTGGCATCACTTCCAATTGCCGTTCCTCACTACCGCCATCCGAAAAACAGTAAACATGTTGTTTTCCTGCAGTCCAGCCATCTGGCATCACTTCCGCAACCCCAAAACTCCTTCCTGTGCTTTTTTAACATTGTCCTGCCATCTGACATCGCTTTCATAGCCCCACGAATCCTTCCCTTTGTTGTTTTACTGTTCTTCTAGCCGCCCACAAGCCTACCGCATCTCATCCACCACCTAGAAATCTTATCTGTTGTAACCACCACCCTCCAACACCCCAAACTACCCATTCCAACCGACCTAGCTGACCTCCACCACCGTTGGATTGACTTCTAGTTGAGTATGTGTAGTTTGTTGTTATTTCGTGTTTCAGTGTGTTGGTTATAATTTTCTATTTGCTTTTAGTAATAATATATTTCTTTTCTGTTATTGTTTGGGTTAACTCCGACATCATTTGGTATTAGAACTAGACTAACTCCGACAACATGTTGTTTTCCTGCAGCCCAGCCATCTGGCATCACTTCTGCAACCCCAAATCTCCTTCCCGTGCTATTTTAACATTGTCCTGCCATCTGACATCGCTTTCATAGCCCCACGAATCCTTCCCTTTGTTGTTTTACTGTTCTTCTAGCCGCCCACAAGCCTACCGCATCTCATCCACCACCTAGAAATCTTATCTGTTGTAACCACCACCCTCCAACACCCCAAACTACCCATTCCAACCGACCTAGCTGACCTCCACCACCGTTGGATTGACTTCTAGTTGAGTATGTGTAGTTTGTTGTTATTTCGTGTTTCAGTGTGTTGGTTATAATTTTCTATTTGCTTCTAGTAATAATATATTTCTTTTTCTGTTATTGTTTGGGTTAACTCTGACATCATTTGATATTAGAACTAGTCTAACCCTAGTTCCACCCCCACACCCCCATCAACCTCCGCCACCCCCCCAAATACCTAACTCAAATTTTTCTTTCCCGACCGATGCACACTAATGAACTCTATCCACACCTAAATCCTAGCATGCCACCTAAGAGACAATAGCTGATCAAGGGAAAATGAGACGATGCAACTTATGAGAAATTCACAAAGAGATGTCTAGGAGCTTTCTAGGAAAATTCTCTAAGTGTAACAGAGGTTTGTCACCTTTGAGAGGAGACAACCTGAAAGAGTCAATTTTAACCAAAATAATAATTCATCAGATGGAAAGGATGCAGTGAATCCCTTCCACCATGCCATATTCCAAAGATGAAGATATAATATCCCGAAGATTTGACATGAAATATTGGAGAAGCCAGGATTTTGAAGTGAAGGTCAATTTTGTCATATTTTGGCAACCACATAGATCCAAACAAGTTTATCGAGTGACTCTGGACAGAGAAACATGTCTTTGAGTACCTAGATGGAATGGTGAAACTAGACATCAACAAGTTGAGAAAGAGTGCATTTTTTTGGTGGGAGAACTTAAAGATTCTTTGATGGCAAGAAGGGAAGAGTAGAATTACTACCTGGTTTAAAATGAAATGAAAGATGCAGCGCCAATACCTACCAATTCATTATGGATAAGATTTTCAGACTCTAGCTTCAAAAGTGGAGAAACAACCTCACCGAGTGGCCGTCACATCTTACAGGTAGAGTTCAATCCCAAGATCAAGTAACAATAGTACACCCAACAGAACATCCAAGCCTAACCCGCCTGAAGAGACAATAGTTTAGAGAGGAGAATAGGTAGAACCAATCCTCATTCCCAAATAAGTCACATAGTGTCACGGATTTGGACATATTAAATTAGATTGGCCAACTAAGAGAATTATCTCTTTCACTGATCAGGGAGCAGTTGAAGAAGCGGGCAATGACACAGTAGACGTTGAAGAATGTGAGGAGAAAAACGAGGAGTTTCAGATTCCAGCTAATGAGGGAGTAAAGAATGTAGTTCAGGCCCAATTCTTGAGAGAGACTCCATCAAAATTAACAGTGGTGGTCTAAGACGGTGTTAAGTTCAAGGAACCAACACTAGACACATGCCAACCACAGATAACAAAATTTCAGACTTTTTAGATATGTTGTCTACTTTCTGAGTTGCCCCTACTATGGGAGGTCCAACAAGTCAGAGATGAAATTTTTTTGCGCCACCCCTAAACGATGTTAAAATCAGTCATTTGGGTGTTAAAATCAGTTTAACATGTACCCATCGACAGATGATCATATATGATGGATAAAACCGCAACATTGAAAATTATCTTAGGATCTTTGGAAGAAAGAACATCCTATAGTAGGATCCAGGTCTTTTTAGAGAAGAAGAAAGAATAAGAGACCTCTCCTGAGTAGTTATACTACAATGTGGTCTAGTCCGCTATAGATCTCGTTCCAGAGTTGATTGCTCCCGACATAATTGTTTATCAGATACATTCATCCAAGTATGAGAAGTGGAATAAGTAGGTTATAGACTTATAGGATCGAGACTTATTTTACGAGAATCTACAACTATATGCATATCCAGCTCATATTGTGTCAAAAGAGAATATATATTTATTCTATAATGCTTGCAGGAGTGACTTAACAGGAAGTTAAAGTAGTTCCACCACCTTCAACATGACCGACCCGACACTATACTATGAGGAACTCGATACTTCGACAGATGAGTTCAAAGCTCCCCTAACCCCGAGCGACTGACACGGGCATCAAAAAGGGATGGGGATCGTGTCTTGGAATGCGATTGCGGTGTCGTCCGCACTCCAGTTGTCTAAATCGAACCGGTGCATACCTGGGAGAGTTAATCGGTTCTTCCATGATGGTTTGTATCCTCCTTTTCACAGAAGGATCCAATCCCAGGATTTATATATTTGGTTTTCATGTTTTAAATTTTCAGTTTTGGTGTGCTTTCTATCAAGATAGCCATCGACATCTCAGATTTTTTCTATGAGGGTGTATCAAAGGGTCGAGTGGTGCTTCGATTGTATCTCGTTCAAGATGTGGTGATTTATCCTTCCCCCATAGCTCCCCTTCGCTCCACACCGTCCTTCTCTATTGTCGTCGCCCCTAGAACAACAATTATTGTTGTTTTTCCCTGCAGCTCCCACATTTTCTAGCTGCCTCCCTACCTTCACAACCTTGTTACTACCCAACACAACCA